TTTTGGGTTTTGGATTTGGTTTTGGTTTCAGTTTCAGTTTCGATTTCGATTTCGATTTCGGTTCGGCACTCGGGTTTGGTTTCGATTTCGATTTCTGTTTCCGTTTCTGTTTCTGTTTCTGTCCCTGTTTTGGATGGCTGTGCTCTGCATCCTCGTCGGCATCTGCTGTCGGCTGCTGGCTGCCAAAGACTGACTCTCGCCGAAATATACGGGCCAGCCACTCGGCGTTTCTCGTTGCCCGTCGCCCGGTCCCCTTCCACTGTTCCGCCGTTCAGCCGTTTTGGTGTTCGTCGTTCCGATTCCGGTGTTCCGGCGTAGGAGGTCCAACCACCCCACCCTTACGCCACGCCTGCTACTGAGACAGCTGCTCCGCCGCTGGAAGCTGGAAGCTGTCAGCTGTCAGCTGTCAGCTGGAGTTCCAGGAGGACCTGCCACTGAGCTTGGGCTTTGCCAGATTCCTCAATGAATAAAGCTCGCGTGCAGCGGACGAGGCGGCCCATCCGCTGACAGCTGTCAAATTCACGGGCAAGCGGGCTTGCGACTTTGCCTCGTCACTGAAGTTCGATTCTTAACTTAATCAAAATATTATATAGAAATGCTGAAATGGGTATGAACATTTCAAGCCATGATAAAATGTTCTTAATGGTTTAATTGAAAATAATTGATTTATGTCAAGGTGGGTCAAAATCCTTGATATAAAAGCTGATCACAGGTATCTGCAATATTTTTTCATCATTAATCATTAAAAAACACACCTACACATAATTCATTTTAATGATTATTTTTTTTTTTATCAACGATTGTTGTTTTGATAATTATTTGACATAACACTGTCAAATCAAAGCACCAACAGGTGTTTTTAAACTAATCTTTTATAAGCAATTGTTTCAGTTTTACAGTCAGTTGTTATAGCTATTTTGCTTAATTACAGAAAGCTGATTAAGAAATAAAGTTAATTTGAACAACGTGAAATTGGTGCACTTTGGGAAATATAAAATCAATGGGCTCCGAAATGTACCAATTAAATAACAACTACCTACATTATAAATATTAATTTGATAGCCCCACATTTTGTCTGGCTTAAGGCGGTTGCTCAGGTTGCTGCAGTTTGCAGCAATTCTATTTTAATTTTAGGTTTTATTTTAAGAAGAGAGCACGATAAGTAAATAAGAATTAGTACATGAAATTGAAAAACAGATGAAAACGCAAGTCTAAGCAAAAACAAAATAAAAATAATGCAGAACTATGCAAAATAAAACTGTATTAACTATCACAATACTTTGGTCTACGGGCAAAAAGCGTATCTTCTGCCGCTAAAACTATGATATTATGAACGCTATTCGAAGTTACAGACTGTATGTTGTTGTCGGTAGAAAACTTGAGGTATCTATATTAAAACATTTATCGAAATAAAACTAATAGTGTTACATTCGATAGATGTTTTGAAATATAAAAAATTAATTTTGTTTTATGTGAGAAACCACTGTCCATTAAAAAATTTCATCACGTATACAAATACCATGTATCCCCTTTTCTTAATGTATGGAAACCACCAAGTAAATATTTGAAATTCGATGATGTGCTTATAACGCTTGTGAATTTCGAAATTCAATCTTACAAAAAAGCGATTTTTTCAAGAAAAGTTCTGAAGTGTCTTGATTAACTGCTTGCGGAATGCAGCGGAGATGAAACACGGCCAACTGTCAGTTGGTCAGCTGTCAGGAGGCGAGCTTTTCGCCTGGAAGCCGGAAGCTGTGCGGCTGCGGCCTTTCCGCTTTCCAGGCAAAAGCTGCCCGCACAGAGGGCGCCACCGCTGGCGGCTCCTAAAGCTCGTCCCTTGGATGCTGGGCGCGCACTCAAAAACTCAGAGAAAGCAGCAGGTGGAGTGGCAAAAGCTGGAAGGTGGATGGTGGAAGGTGGTTCGGTGGGTTAATGGGTCGATGTGTCGTTGGGTCAGCCGCATCGATTGCAATCGCCGCAGTTCACCGCCCCCACGTGACGTCAGTAGGCGGGCCTGCGGTTCGCGTATCCTTGACAGACTGCCAAGGCTAAATGCCCACCCACAATGTCCTGCGCCCACCAAACGCGATTAATCCGGCACATGGGACACGGCCATCGACAAGATAAACAACTCAAATCGAATTCATATTCCGTGCACAAAATCAATTAGTCAGGTAGACTGGTCAATAAGGACCTGCGCTGTAAATATGAAAAAGTACTCTTGCGAGTACAGCAATGTTTCTGAAAAATAATAATTGAATTTAAGTTGCATACGGGGAGAATCCAGAAAAAATACAATATTTTTCATTTCCTTTGAAGTTGGCATCATGTAAATGCAAAAATACAAAATATTTGTTCAGATATGTTGTACACGTATAATTGAAAATACGGGTTTAAATGCCTTTGCAATTAAAATCTGGCATACATTTGTCAGCCAGTTCTACTTAATAAAAAATAAAATGTTAAATATGAGAATGGACTCCATAATTGAAAATAAATTTTATACATTTGTAAAAATTCAGAGACAAATTTTTATTAGTGATTTCCAACCAAGTACTTTAACGTTTTCAAACATTATAAATGTACGAATGTAATTAAATATTTAATGTAAAAAGTCCTCACTTTTATTTAAAAAGCGACAAAATAATTGGCAGTTTAACCGAAGAGTAATTGAGTTGTAGTAGCATGTCAGCTTTAATTAATAAAATAAATTATAATTAACTACCATAATAAATGTATGGCAGTTCAAAGTGGTGTATGAAGAAACTAGTTGAAGTAGAGTTCAAAAGGCTTACGGGTAGGTTTATTTAATTCATTTTCCACTAAAGATTTTGTATGAGTAAATGAAAAAGAAAATGGTAAACATGGGCTTGCCTGCCTTGCTTAATTAAATGAAGTTTTCCCAATGAATATGGCCACAAAGCTGGACTACAGAATGTTGAACGCTCTTATGGCATTTGCACTAACGCAAAACGCAGTAATTATTGACCAACCAGATTTTGGCCGGAATTCCCTAATGGCTACAACACTTCCTCTGGCAGTTATGTGCTGCGCTCGAGGTTGTTCTCGTACTGTATGTGGAATTTGCCATTGCTGGCATTGTTCGACTGGCAATTAATCAAGCTAAAATATTCACTGCGAGCCTGTGCATTTTGTAGCTGTCGCTTCATCGATTAGCAGCGTGCTGAAAGCCTGGCCACAGGATATTCGGGTGGCATATCCGTACAAAGTGGGTTTAGCAAATCGAACGCCCGAACACTCGGGCTCCATCAATTAGCCACCGAAGGGATTGCCCCGGATTTGTTTTTGGCAGCCATTTCGGCCTCCAAAACAGTGACAAAGGACCCCAAATGACGCACACGCGTCTGTAGATGGGCGGTCGCCCATCCGTGCAAAAAATCCGGGCATGAAAACAAGGATAATTCGGCCTGCCGTGGCTGCACTTAACCAAGTCCAAGTCGAGGGCTAAGCCCCAAAAGCCGGACCTTGCAGGCGACGCCTTTGCCGGAGTCAAAGGCTGTGGGGGCCATAAAATTTTTAGTGTCATGTTGTACATTGTTGCCCAACCGCCTTCCTTTTTCCTCTTTTCCCCCTCGCTTTCCACTGGTTTTTCCACCTCGTTGCTGCATTTTTTTGCCCGGTCTTCTGGCCTTTCTGCTCACTTGGTAAGCTGCTAGCCAAATTTATGGCCGGCGATGCACATTTTCCGAGGGGCTGGCCGTGGAAGCTGTTAGCCTGCTTAACGGGGATAACAACAAAGGTGGTGGCTAGAATATATATCTGTGGCGACCAGGCGACCAGGCGACCAGTGGTAATTACCATCCAAAGTACTGTGCCACAAATTAGGGGATCTGAAGTTACGTTTTCGGACTCAAGGTCTGCTCAAATTAAATCAGAGAATGTGTTCAAGCACATTCGTTGTCAAAAATAAATACCCTAAAATTGGCAAAACGCAGTCGTGTTTGAGAGAGTTTTTCCTTCTCAGTGTTGCAAACTGAACTGTGTTGTTTAATAATATCGCAAGTTTTTTATTATTATTCTGTAGTATAGGAACCCGAATCATACTGAATAATATTACGTTTAACTTTGAGATAAGGTAAATTTACAGCATATAGGACCAAGCAAAGCCTTGCATTGACTTCCATGGTAAAATGCGAAATGTGGTTCAAGAACTAATTAAAGAACTAACTTTTCGGGCATTTATAGTGTCTTAAAATATAGTGTGAGATATGAAATTGCAGTTAATATTGGAATGGATATAAAAAGATTTCTGTTGAGTTTTTTTTACAGTTTTCTACTGCGGAACAGCTGTAGTTTTTTTGAAATATTTAATTGATCAGACTGAAAAGATCAGATTAAAGTACCAAACAAACCTTTTATATCTTTCTAATTAATGGGTTACATTTTTTTATTAGAAAAATATTGACAAATATTGAATTATTTGCAGCTATTGCATAAATTTTTAAAAGCCGAATTTGTATGGCAATGAAAACATGTAGAAACTTTCTCAATTGATTGCTCAAATGTACTTATTTTTTATCCTGGGAAATTTATTTATTTCATAAGCTTATCTTTGTGAAGATATATAATATGAGAGAAAAGCTCGAAAGGCAGACCCACAAAAATTCTTTTACATTTTTCTCTCAATTTAAAAACCTTTTAAAATGTCCTTTAAATCAGTCACAAGTGGCGCAAAGTATTACCCAAAAAGTACAAAGTAAGAGATAATGCCAATGCGGATATATTTGGAAATTTATCACTTGAGACAATATTATAAAAATCAATGGGAAGCCACAAAGGATCTTATGAAGTCATCACTTCGGTATCACAAAATATGCAGATTAAGAAATCCGCTGAGAAAAAGTCAATAGAAGCCATAAGAAATTTAGTAGCGATAACTCTAAGGTTGGAAAGCTTTGGGAGAGATACGAGTATATTTGGATATTTAAAAAAAAACAATCTTCGGTCTCATTAATTACGATGACAGCTTTCTAATTTAATTTCAATTCAGTTTGCTGACCTGCCGAGTCATAGTGTCTGAGTGAGAAAGGAAAATAAAATCGTGGTAAGAAAGAAAATAAGAAACAATTTGAAAACGTCTTACAAAAAGCATTTGCCAGAGAACAAGCAATCTTGGAGACCAATAACGTAGAAACGAAAAGGAGTCTCAATTTCTTTTGTTTAGAAGAAGCTTAGCTATCCTTTATCAGATTATTTATCAAAATGGCCGCACTAAAGAACCTGATTGACGAAGACTGGGGCTCCGATGTGGAGATCATCGAGGTGCCGGAGCCCATTCCGATTGAAATCTCCTCCGACGAAGAGGGTCCAAGTCCGAATCTGGACGATCAGAGAAAGAGGAAGTCTTCGAGCGAAGAGGCCGAGGATTCTGAGGAGGACGAGGATCTTCTGGATGAGTCATCAATCAAGGTGGAGGCCGTCTCCTCGGACGAAGATGATCGTCCGAATAGGTGCTGGTATACCAGCAAAGGGGTGAAGGTGGAGTCTTTCTGGGAGTTCTTTAGCACCCAGCCCCCCGTTGACCTCAAGGTCAAAGTGAAGGAGGAGAAGCCGGAGAAGGAGCCGAAGGATCTTCTGCGCGTGGGCATCTGGCGACCGCCAACCTACAGAGAGCGCCACAGCGTCGAGTTCAACAACGGATGGTGGACCCACAAATACACGACCCAGGCCGAGTGGACCGATGTCAACTCCCCCTTCCTTCCGGACTCAAAAGCGAATAACCAAGTAGCACAAGTGGAGGTGGCTGGACCATCGCCTGTGGCTGGCGAAGGAGCACCTCTAACGAGCGGTGGGGAGGATCTGCCACCGCAGATCTTTTGGGCTGCTGTGCCGGACAACGAGTGGCCAGCCTACATCATGAGCCTGTTCACCAATCAGCAGGGACACAGCAACGGCAGCTGGGAGGAGCACATGACCATCGACGGTCGCAACTACTATGTGCAGTTCGAGAAGCACGAGTTCAACGTCTGGCTGTACCAGGGTTATTAGGGAATCCAGTTGAAGTCCCATCACTTCCATCATAATTTGGTAGTACGATAAATAAAGGTATTTATCTCCAAAGGGAAATAAATAAAATAAATAAAACATAATGCATATATTTTACACTTCCACTGTTGACAATTCCGGCAGGGATGTGAACTATTTCGTAGCATTTTGAACCCTAAACCGAACTCGGACGGTTATTTGTTTGACTATTAAATTAACCCAAACCGAACCAGTAGATTTTAAAATCGGGCTCGGTTTAAGCAATACTTTTGTGTTTTTGACGTCCATCAAATATACACCAGAAGCCTAATAATAACAATTGACCATTTTCAAATAGCGTTTATTAAGCAAGAGTTATGAGGCTTCAAAAGGTTAGTAAACTGCAGTTTTTCAATTTTTAAAGTAAGTTACTTGCTCATCATTGGGAAAGGAATTAAATTGAGATTACATTACAAAATTGAATTTTATTTAAATTAAACTGGTCTGAACCTGAACCTCGTTCCACCACTTAAAAGAACCGGTTCACGAACCAGAAGTACAGTTTGCGTGTAGGTCCGAGCCCCGAGCCGAGCCGCAGTGAAAATAAGTTGGGTTCACAGCCCCGACACATTAATACGTGAAAAAGTTATATAAATAGTGTGACTTTGTTTTACAGGCGTGTATTAATATATTTTATATAAGCAAACCATTGTTAGTTAATCTATTGTTAATCCAACGGAAAAATTCTCGGTATAAAAAACAAACAATCATAATAGTGAGTTTAATTAGATGTTTTATTGACATTTAGAAGTCAAGGTAGCTTTTTGGTCTGTAGAAATAGGAATAGTCTCAGCAAAGAAGGTTATTTTAATCACACAATTCATCAGTAAATCTTAATGAAATACAAATAACCTAGGTTACTTTTCAGCAAGGCAATTAATTAACAACGATATCAGCTGGTCAGGTCTTGCAAAACTGTTGTCGCACCACTAATAATTATGAGTGAAAACACAATAGTAGCCACTCTGCACAGCTGCACAGCCATAATGTTTTCAACCCGCATTTTTAATGAGATTTATGAGATGCCAGGCAGCCGTGAAAAGTGGCGAAAAAAAGATGAAAAATCTCTGGATGAAAGGCTGGCTGGGTGGCTGGCTGGCTGGGTGGCTGGCTGGCAGGAATTTCATATTCCGCCGAGAAGCGATTGGTGCAATTACACAGGACGACGGGCGGCAACTCGACGACAATTCAGCAACAATGCAGCGACGGCAACCTCAAACGTCAATGGATGGATGAGGAGCGATGAGGAGCGCTGGGGAGCGAGCGAGCGAGCGTGCAAAATGTGGCCCGCAGCTTTGGCCGACATTCCGGCTGGCTGTCGTCCTTTTGGTCCTGTTCGAGGGCCCCCAGGATCCGAGGATCCGAGGACCCCAGGCAACTGCATAAAATATGCGACCAAAGGCAGTCGAGAGGGACGAGAAATATACATATTTTTGAGCAGAGCAGAACAGAACAGAACAGAGCCGCAGCAAAGGAAAACGAGGCGAGTGCCGTTGCCATCGATGGGGTGAAAAATGCGCGAAAATCGGTGGAAAGCGACGGCCACCGCCGAAATTTTTGCAGCGCAGCAAAACAACGTACAAAATTTATAGCGCATCCTTCCAGCGAGCTGCAAGTTGCAATGCCACTCGAAAGGGATGGGGAAACAGGGAAAGGGAAACAGGGACAGGGACAGGGACATGGACACGGACATGGACGTGGACATGGAGCTGAAAGCGCAAAAGGGGAGGCAGGTCGGCGCCACAGCCAGTTGGGCATTAGTGTATGTGTGTGTGTGTGGCTGATGAGCTGGGAAATGCACTAAGAGAAAGTTTGTAGCTACTAAATGTTGCATTGAACATATTTTTTGTTCATATATATATATATATATATATATATATATATATATATATATATATGTTCATATGTATATAGTACGAATGTTTGTGGATATCAAGTGAGTTGTTGAAATAAGGCACACATCAAAAATTTATATATATATAAAATATATATATATATAAAATATATTTTATATATGTATTTATAAAAGGAAATATATAGAAAAGCTTTAGGAACAGAAGTTTAAGATACGCTTTCGGCTTACTAAATTGCACCTTTTGTTCTGATTAAAAAACTTTGTTTCTAAAAAGTTTTTTATTCAAGTAAATTAGATAGAATAAGGAATTATTTTTGTGACTCCATATATAGAATTTTTTTGCGTGTAGCTGCATCTTTTTGCCCTCAAATTGCTTGTCACTTCCGGCCCTTCTGCCCTTCACCCTCCCCCGTCTTCTTCTCTCCTCTCTCGCACACACACACACACACACACAAAACACACACACTGAAGAGAGTGTGAAATATGGCTGACACTTGAAAGTTGGCCTTCGATTTTTCATAACAATTGCATATTTATTTGGGCATACAGCACCCGAAATCCCACCATCCTCACTTTCTCTTTGCTGACTTTTGGGCGATTATGCAAGCGAAGTTTCCCTCTTGGCCAAGTTTGCAAAAATAAGACATAAATAAGGGAACTGAAAGCGTTTTCAGCAGCCTTTATCGATTGCACATCCATAATTAAATAGTTACAAGCTAAGCACGTAAAATAGTATCTAAAATGGCTTTCGGACTTGAATTCTTTTTATAACTAATTAAAAATGCAATACAATTTAGGCTTAAATAGTTAACATAAGTGGTTTTAATGTGGCTAAACAATTAGATCTTCATTTGCAACCAATTAGGCGAGTTTTCATTGGCAATTGAATTTCATGGAGTGCGCTGTCAATTGTTGGGTAATAAGTTGGCTCATATGGAAATGTGGGTAGGAGCAACATCTGGTGAAAGTGAAGCTGCACATCTTTTCCCACTCTCTGTCCCCATCTGCCCAAGTCCACATATCTCCTTCTTTGTGTGTGTGTGTTTGTGTGTGGCCTCAATTTCCCAAGTCCCCGGGTACTACTGCAGCATCTCTCCACTTTCCACTTGCCACTCCAATTCTCCCCTGGAAACGAGCCCCTCTTGTTTGTCTGCATTTAAATGTGTGTCATGATGTTAATTTGCTGCACCGCCGGCTATGGCAAAGAGTGCTGCCAACCTGGTTTTGGATGCATCTAGCTTTTATCGAAGTTCGAAGAAGCCTAAGGTGCTATAAAATAAATAATTGTAAGTCCCCTTGCTTACAAGAATATTTATATCACATTAAGTTAAGGGTTAGGTTTTAAAAACATTGACAACTTTAAATGCAAATACGAATTTTTATGAACCTTTAAGCTTGGGTGGCAACCTTATTAATGCAGTGTTAAGTTGGCTGCGCCCAAATACTTAATCAGTTTTCGTGGGAAAGTTTTTTGTATGAATTGACTATGTATGAAGGTGCAACTAACTTATGGAAGCAAAGATTCTGTTTAAGTTTGTAATCAATTCAAGATTGAAGTTTTACAGGTAACTGTGTCATAAATATATTGTGAATATTGTTGTGGATTTGAGGTGTGGTAACATAGTTCGATTTCTGTTTACTCCTCCTCATTAGCTACTTTTGGCTGTTGCCAGTTGGCACCACTGGTCGGCTGCTGGAGGCTCGCTGACTCCGTCTGGGCCAGATGCAGTGGTGGAAAAGCGAGGGAGAAGGGAAAGGGGAAGGGGGAGTGCCGGAAAAGCGCTGGAAAAGCCTGGCAAGGAGGCTTGATGGCTCGAAGGCTCGATGGCTCTAAGGGGGTGGCTGGTGGGGGGTTTCGATAGCAGTAACTGGCGACGCTCCGCCTGTCGTCGGTTTGTCTGCGGCGGTTTGTCTCCGAATCAGACAGTCAGACAGTTGGCAGGCAGTTGGCAACTGCAGCTGAAATGGCAACTGCATCCGTGTTGGCCAACAGCGAGTGCGCCTGTAGTTGTGGACTCCGATTTTGGCCATAGCGAGCGACACTTGCAGCATTTGTCAACGTCATTAGTTGCACATCGAGCACACTGCAAAACAAAAACTAAAAAACGAAAAGGAAAGAAAGGATCCATCGAGGGGAAAGGACCAAGTTTTTCACGTGCACAATTTTTTATTTCTAAGTGAAATTAAGTTTTAATTGGTTATGCCTTAAAAGCCAACGACGAAAGTGTCGGAATGGCTCAAAAGATTTTTATTTTCATCTTTAAATTTAAGTTGTAATTGTTTTACCGGTTAAGAGGTGAATATTTTGAGCAGCTTTTAATTTGCAAAGAGGTTTTAAACTTATTTCAATTGTAAGTAAGCCATTGTTAGCTTTTTGGTAACACTCCTAAGACTTAAGGCATGTAATTAAAATGAAGTTGAAATTGTTTCACTTAGGAGGTGAATATTTGCAGTAGCTTTTAATTTGAAAAGGGATTTTAAACTTATTTCAATTGTTAGTTAGCCACTATTAGCTTTGTCGTAACACTTTAAAGATTAAAAGCTTGTAAATACTAACTAGCAAGTGAATATAGTTTTAAACTCATAACCAAATAATTTAATTCATCGAAGTGGCTTTGGTTGCCATTCGCCTGCAATCTTGCAGGAATAAAACTGACAATTATGCGAACTTCATGGCGGTGGAAGTGAATGTAATTTAAGTTTTGTCCGCTTGACGCGACATTGTGTCTGGGCGGTGAGTGCCACGCCCCCTTGCCGCAGCCCCAGTTCCGCCCCCAACGGCCTAGCAACTTTGCAGGAATAAACAAAATACAAAGCGAGAAAGAGAGAGCGAGCGAAAGAGCGAAAGAGACACTGACACTAATGCAACAAAATTGAAGCAGATGCAAGTGGAAATGTCCTTGAGGCACACACACAGACTTCTCTATGTACAAATATATATACACCATATATATCTATATATATATATATGTATATGCCGCTGCTTAACCCAAAGGCATCAGCAACATTGTATCCTGCCCTGTGTGCTCTGTTTTTTCTTTTATTTTTCTTTTTTTTATCCTTTTTTATGGCCGCCAGAGTTTTCAGTTGCAATTTTTGGCAACTGCTGCAGCGCGTGACGTCACACTCACTCTCACACAAACACAAACACACACGCACACATAGAAAGCTGCGCTGGAGAAAATGGAGTTGGATTTATCCAAAGGGGGCGGGTATAGGCGGCAAAAAGGGGGCGTGGTCGGCCGAGGGAAATGTGTAAATTGCTGCTGCATTTTGGGCATGTTTAATGTAATTACCAAAAGGCTTTCAGTGCACAAACACACACACACACACACACACACACACACACACAAACACACATATATCTGCATGTGTGTGCAGCACTCCTTACCCACTCTTTCCCCCCTTTTTCGCCCCCCTCGCTCCAATGGTAACTGCCTTTGGCATTCAGCCAAAAATATCATTCTATAAAATACGAGTTTAAGCGCAAGCACACAAAAGTCCAATAAGAAACTTCCCCGGAAAACGAGAAACAAAAAGAAATGCGCACTGAAAAATCAGCAAGAGAGTTTTCCCCCTTCCTCCCGTTTCCCCTCCCCCGCATAAGATTTTTCCGAGCACACATGGCAGGCGTTTTTCCTGTATTTAAGGGGCTTTCGGGGGTTTTCTAGGGGGGTTTTCCAGGGGGGGTTTTCAGGGGGGTTTTCCGGGGGGTTTTCAGGGGGTGGTGCCGCTTGACAGGCTGCCTGAATGGCGCCCTGCAAGTTGAACAAAATAACATTTTGGCTTTCACTTTTTTTGTAGTCGTGTTTTTCTATTTCCCTGCCAGGCTGTGTTTTCCATTTTCTTTCCATTATTTTTTTGGGCATTTTTCATTGCTTACTGCTCAATGGTTTTTGTTGACTTCAACTGCACAGATGCAGATACAAAGATACAACGATACAAAGATACAGAGAGAGCCACTTAAACAACGCTTCGAAATCGGTGAAGCAAGGTCCACCGGTAATTGGAAAATGGTTCTATAAAATGGAAAATCTGTCCACATAAAACGTGTATCTGTGTGCACGAGTATTTTCCAAAGCTTTAGATTAAAATTTAAATATAATAGTGCATTGGTAGTCAACTAAAATTATCATGCGTTTCATACAAAACTACAACACTGGAATTCTAGACATTGCTATTTTACTGCCAGGTGGATAAATATTATTTATATCTCTTCTGAATTTCTGATGCCACATTTTCGATCGGATTCGTGTTTTGTTTTCTTTAATAAACAAGTAGCTCATTCGCTAGTTACATTTCTATTTTAACATCGAGTGCACGGAACGGAAAAACAATACTTTGTATTTCTGTGGCTATCAAAACGAATGTTTATCCAATATTAATCAAAAGATGATCAAGAAAAACTTTAGAGACTTGCAATTTGTATTGCAATTGTATTTCGTATTTGGCATGTAAATTTAAAGATAAGATTTAAAGATAACCATTCGATGATTCCAAAAATATGTCGAATGAATTCTATTTTGCAGTTTCAAGAATGTGATGGTGATAAAAATATTATTCTTTTGTTCTTATATTTCTTTTAAAGTAAAGTGCAAATGTTCGAGCATATCAAGGAAACATGTAAATATGTTTTTGCTCTGCCAGAACTTAAGTGATTTCTCGAAAAATAGTTGTACTCCCGTCTTCAATCCCCCGTTTCCCTCAGTGTACACACAAGCTTAAGTTTAACAACGCCTTACATTCCCCACTTTTCCCTTTTCCTTCTGCTTTCTTTTTTTGCTTTCTTCTTTCTTTCTGGCTGTCAAGTGCAACACGAATGCTCAACTGAAAGTTCTCCGTGCGCTTCGTTCTTGATTTAGTTTACTTTAGTCACGTTTATTGCGCTTTTAGGACAGATATCTTCACTACCAGTCGCCCTCAATCCCCCCTTCCCCCCCTGAAAAGTTCGAGTGGTGGAGTTGGAGGGCGCACCTCGAGTGGTGCAAGTGGTGCAGGTGGTGCAGCCGAGTGCCCCGAGATCTGTGCCAGCTGTGGAGTGCAGATAAAAAGGAACCCTTTAGGCCCTTTCGCCGGTGGCATGCAGCTTCCGTCGCTCCTTATTTATTTATTTGCCATTTGGATATCCGCACCAAAGAGGCTTAACTCTGATGATGAAGCCGTCAGCAATGCGGCAGGCTAACCATTTCTGCACCTCTTCGAATGGCGGATTAAGAGGAATTTTCAAAAAATGTGGGAATTTATTTAAATTTTCGATTAACATGCCCAGAAGGCATTTTAAGAATTTTAAGGGAAAGCATTCATTGTAAATGAAATGTGCAATGGAATTTGATTTTATCCAGATAAGTCAAAGCTAATTAAAGCGACCAACAGAATGCAGAAAAGTTTTTTAAGAGTGACAAGGAAGGGAGGTAAAATCACAAGTACCTACTAATTATAATAAATTGATAAATTTGTTATTCAAAAGAATGACAATGTTTAGTTAAATTTTTCTGTGTAAAAATTCAAACGTTCTTAAACGCATTTCACATATCACGATAAACCTTATTCGACTAAAAGTATATAGAATATATAATATATATAAAAAAACATATTCAAAAAATTATTTACCTATACTTTTATTGTATTTTTGAGGACAACTTATTTTGCATATGCGATTGTAAGGAAATTGTACAAATTAGGTATTTTGATTGGGAGTTATTTCACTTTTGGGGCTTTTGTTTGAACAGGAAAGTTATGCTCGAAGTAAACTTTCCCAAGTGAAGAGAGGGATCTCAAGAAAGTGCACGGATTGCGAGTAGATTGCGGGTGGGATGTGGATAGCTTATGAGTGGGCTATGAGAGGGTTACCAGGGGCAACTTAAAAGTACGGTCTTGCATACCCATAACCATCGAGGGAGGTGCGCTGGAGCTGCTGCTCGCGGAGCTGCAGCTTCCGCTCGGCGATCTTCTTCTGCTCCTCCTTCTGCTCGAGCTGCTCCTTCTGGTGCTGCTGCTGCTGCTGCTGCTTCTTGCGGTGCTGGCGGTCCTCGCCCAGGCCGTAGAGGCCGGCGACGGCGGCCATGCCACCGGCTGAGGAGCCGCCGAAGAGGACGCACTACCGCGCGGAACTCGCTCGGATTCACTGGGGGATCACTGGTTGTCACTGGTTGAGTCATGGACCGATTGCTCTTGCTCTTGCTCTTTCTCTTGCTCTTGCGGCTGCCGTGCGCTCATTTTCACTCGGACTCTCATTTTAGTTACGCGGCGGTTCACTCGCAAACATGGCTAGTGGAGCTGGCAAGCAAATTCAAGGGGGTTATCGTTTCGAAGGCCCCAAAAGAAATATTTAAGGGCCTAAAGTCTGTCTGTTCCCCCTTTAGTCAACTACTTATTCGTTTGCTAAATATTAGCTCTCAGTTTTAGAGGAAGTGTCTTTGATTATTAGAAAAGAGTTTGTAAGATCCCAAAAGTATGCTTCATTATATCTAAAGCTCTAATGTAGCGAAAATTCTTGTTGAAGTACAGTAGAATCCCGATTATCCGGATCAATTAAAACCAGGGGTATTCCGTATAATCGAAAATCCGGATAACCGATTTCAAGGCAAATCAAATAATTAAGTTAATAATAATTAAGTTATATTATAAAAATATCTTCATTTTGTCTTTAAGAGACAACAGTACTCTTTTTCGCTTGGACATTTTAAATTTCCAACACAAAACGTAAACAAAAATAAAAGACAACCTTTCAGTTGAACGCTTTCAAGGAAAATGAATGAGTCCGGATAATCGGATGTTCGGATAATCGATGTTCGGATAATCGGGATTCTACTGTACAATGTAATATTTTCAAAGCATACTTTTTGGGGCATTCAAAAGTGTTTTCAAATCGCTTGATTTGTTTTTGCTTGTTCCATTGCGTAAGTATGATCGATTCTTTTAATCTTACGACCATCACCTCCTGCTATTGATAGCTTGTCAGCTTTAGTGGCTTATATTATATTTAGCTAATATGTCGGGTGAGGCACCACGAATCTGCGGCTAATATTGAGACCTTTGATGAGTGTAATTATTCCTATATATAGCTCGCCCCCTTTCTCCCCTTTCCCCGCAACACTCAGCCGATATCCGATAGCCGATTTTCCGATTTCCCCCCGCTCCCTGCCTTTCCGCTTTTCCTGATTTTCCCGCTTTTCCGCCTTTCCGCCCACTCGCCCGGCAAATCAATTAGCGTGCCCCTCAGCCCAGAGTGTTATGTAACCGTTGCGTAATGGCAGCCATAATTGCATCGCTGTTGGTCCTTACTTGACTTTGTGTTCCGCCAGCCGATGCTGCTTGTTTATCTGGGAGCCCATTGCCATCCCCTTGGAGAGCAAACAAAAACGCCCGGGAAAGTGAATCACATCACATCAAATCGATTCGATTCGATTCGACTCGATTCGAATCGCATCGCATAGAATCGCACTGAATCGAATCGAATAGAATAGAAATCAACTCGCAGAGGCAAACAATGCTGGCATGTGGCATTCGGAATGTTCAGAGCGCCATTATCTATTATCAAATGGAATCGGGATGCTCTCCACCTGCGCTTATCTGATTGCTTTAATAAATTACATTTGATTCGGAAGAGCAGCCGGATACCATTCGCATTGAATATCACAGAGTCACGAGAAACATATAGCTCGAGTTTTGAAAACGAGCTAACAATTTATCGTTCCATTTTCGATTATATCAATTAATTAAGTGTAAATAAAATGCATTGCTAATGCTAGAACAACGTTAGTTTCAAGCTTCACTTTTAATTGCGGTTAAACAATTTAACGTATTGAGTGCTTTGCGATTGTTAATTGGAATTTATTACAATGGCTTGTACAAAATATGCTTTCAATCAGCTGAAACTGAAAGCCAGTGATAAATGTTTTCCTCCGCTTGGCTAATCAATATTTATTAAGCCATTACTCAATCCATTATTTAAATGGAAAAAGGTGCCAAAAATTTGGAATTCCCTGCTTGGTGGCACTAAATCAAAATTAGTCTCGTCAAATTCCACTAAAAACTGAATTAGCTGCCATCGCACAAGTGCCAAATTGCAGTTTTGCGACCCAAGAAGCGGCGCTTAATAAGCCAAAAGGCTTAAAGCCGCCTGCCAATTGCTTCCGTGTTGAAATCGAGTTAGCTGAGCTTGGCCCAGGTGCCCAGGTGCCAAAGTGTTCAATGATGCTATTGCTGGCCATTGGCTGCTATTGGCTTTGGGTTGCTACGACTATTGGCTGCTATTGATTTCTGCGCCCTCGCATCACGTATACGCCTCGTGTTGCCACTGCACACTAATCTGGCCCAGTAGTTGGTTGCTGGATGGTCGGATGGTCGAATGGTCGGATGGATGGCTAAATGGGTGGCCATTAGGTGACAGTTGCCCGGCTGCACTGGCTTAAATGCAATGCCGAACACTTGCGTTGACGCCGACGTTCGTGTAAGCGCATTAACTCATACGGCGGGCGGGCAAATCGGCCGGAAAGGGTCACCACCCACCACCCACCACCCATCCGAACCACCACCCACTTGATCCACCCAAAACCGAAGGGGGCGGGGTCAGTCGGCAAGGTCAGGGCCAGAGTGTGGGGGCCAGTCCGTCCACTCCGGCTATTCAATTACGACAACTAAAGGAGGAACAAGGGGAAAGGGGGAGGGGGGTGGATAAGGGGGAGAAGCACCTCGTTCACTGGCTTACAAGTATGCCCACATGTGTCAGGTTCTAAGGCCGGAGGTTATGTATTTACGGCTGCCGCCGAACTGCCAGCATATTGTCGAGGATGTTCCGGTGAATTATGTGTCGCCAACTGGGAATCTCGACCACGCAAGAACCTTGTCTTGAGTCCGTCTTATCAACAAATTCTGGTTTCCAACTATTGGGCTTGCATGATCTTTTTTTAAACAAACATATACAACTTATATTTCCAAAAAGGGTAAAATTTCAACAATAGTTGGATTCGATTTACAGCGAGTGGAATAGAATGAATATACGAACAGACAAACTTCAACCGAATTTTAGACTTCACAGTTTTTCACAATTGTAATACAATTTGCCATCTGCTCATTTTTTAAAATTTCAATAAAGACACTTCAAAAGTTACACTGATACACTGGGACCTTCAATAAGATGACTCACATTTTAGTTGCCATAACTTTCCTAAACACAGTCTACTTTTAAACTCGATAGAAAATAATTATAATTGTATTAAAATCCCACTTCTGCCATAGAATCCTCTTCAGATCCTTAAAACCTTTTAAATAGGTTTCTCAAGTACGTACTAAGATAAGTGCATAATGTTCTATTAAAAAAAAGGTTTTTTAGTCTTAAACATTTGCTTATAAAAATAGTAGATTTAACCATTCGTGACCAATACTAATGCATGTTTTATGCACTTTAAACACACCTTTCAAACGATTGCTCGAGTGCATTCCTGTGGCCGGAACCTATAAAAAGTGAGCTTACTAAAATTAGTAACTCAGCCAAGCTTCAGTTGGTTGGCTCGTTGGCTAATAATAGTGGCTCGTTCTTATTTATGGCTAATCCGAGCAACTTTATCGGATTTATGGCGGGGTGTTGGACTAGAAAGGACTAGAGAGGACTTCCCTCCGCTCTTGAAGTCGCACTCAATCCGCTTTTCGCATTTTGCGGCTGTAATGCCTGTGCTCATCAGCATTATCATTAATGTGAACACGATGTGGCTGGCCACAATTGAGGTGGGCGTGGCAGAAAAACCCATTCGACTCATTATTAAATTAGAATCAACTAAATTAAATGCGAGCGTTGCACCAGGAGTGTGCGTTTGTGTGGAGGTGTGCGGGCATTTAAGCGCGTTGGAGCGCATCCACACACAACGCACCACCCATTCGAAGCACCCAGCCAAGCCACCCATCCAAACCACCCAACCAAACCACCCAACCAAACCACCCAACCAAACCACCCAACCAAACCACCAGCTTCTCCACTTCCTTTGCCTTTAATTGAGTTGTGCGCTAATTTGAAAGCAATAAAACAAAGCCAGGGAAATGGGGTTGGGCTGGGGAAAGCGGGCTGGCAAAAACTAGTCGGGGGAAAATGGAGCGGAGGGCCGCCCGCATAATGCGCATTTAATGCACTTCCAGCATCCTTTTTCCGCCGCCTTTTTGGCCAAACGGGAAAAGGGGAAAACGGGAAAACAGGAAAACAGGAAAACCAGAAAACCAGAAAACAGGAGAACTGGTAACAGGTAACAGGGAACGGGCAACAGGGCCAAATGTCATATGGAATTTGGCAAATTGAAATAGGTTTTCCAAATCCGCCGGAGCACAAAACTAACGCGAAATATTCGCAAATAAGACAGCAGAACAAATGGAACAATGGCGGTTGCATTTCCCACTGGATTTGCACTCCTAACTTTGTTCAACAATTTCGCCTGAATGAACCCGTGAAGGCTAACCTAGTTAATCCCAAAAAAAAGAACCATGTTTAGTTTCTGGACATGTCCCAAAATAAAACTCTCTCTAATAAATTAAGTAATGGAAACGAAAGAGTTTTTATGTGCTGTTCAGCTGGACTGAGCTAACTGAATTAACTACACAATTATCCCGAACATGCAGAGAACCACTGCACTGGTTAAAACTAGTTTAAATAAAAGCTCAGCAAATTTGTATTTCATTTCGTGAAATTCATCATCTGTCTGTAAACAAAATATTCAAATGGTAAATACTGAAACGAGTGTTTCATGCAGTTCATTTTAAGTTCAAGGAAAACAAACGAACTTGGAATTAGCAGAATCTACTTTGGCCATTTCCAATGCTCATATTTTGCGGGACAGCCTCGTTCGCCTGCCAAGAAGTGGCCGAAATCAAAGCCTGATTTACTATTTAATGGGTTAAGTTGGGAGCTGCACCGAAACGAAAGCCCTGTGAAAACAGCACTCGCAGTCAAGCTGCGAACTTGGATTTTGGAAATACACATAAATAAATTATTCAAACTAATGACAAGGATCTCCTTGGGGCTGCTTTCCCTCCCCCTCCCGCTCCCCCTCTGGTGCTATATTCGTACTAGATATATAT